CCATGGCCGCTGAGCCTGCGCGTCCGGAGCCTGTGCTCCGCAGCGGGAGAGGCCACAGCAGTGAGAGGCCCGCGTACCGCAAAAAAAAAAAAAAAAAAAAGCAATTTATAAAACAATATGTATATAATTGTCTTATTTGTCCTGTAACATAGAAATGTAGTACATTTGCCAATAATAGCACAAAGGAGGTGGGTAGGAGAAAATCTGTCTTGGGCTAAGGAAAGAGCACCAAGTGGTAACTTGAATCCGCAGGAGCAAATGATAAGAATTGGAAATGGGAAATAAGAAGGCTAATCTGACATAAGCTATGGATATATAATTGCTCTCATTTCTTCTCTCAGCTTCTCTAAAACACATAAAGTTAACTAAAGTAATAATTATAACAAGTATTGTTGAATTTGTAACATACATAGATGTAATATGTAAACAATAATGCCACAAGAACAAGGAAAAAAGTATAGAGCTACAAAGGAGTTACATTTCTATATTGTAGTTAAGTAACATTTCTCACTGGAGTTAAGTCAGTATAAATCTAAAGCACATTCTGATGAGTTAACAGGTATAAGATAAGTCCTGGAGCAACCATTAAGGAAATAGCTTTTAAAAATGGAGAGGGCTTCCCTGGCGGCGCAGTGGTTGAGAGTCCGCCTGCCAATGCAGGGGACACGGGTTCGTGCCCTGGTCCGGGAAGATCCCACATGCCGCGGAGAGGCTGGGCCCGTGAGCCATGGCCACTGAGCCTGCACGTCCGGAGCCTGTGCTCCGCAACGGGAGAGGCCGCAACAGTGAGAGGCCCGCGTACCGCAAAAAAAAATGGAGAAATGCCCTGTGATAAATGAAAATGAAAATACAACATACCAAACTTATGGGATGCAGCTCAGAGGAAAATTTATAGCTATAAACACCCACATTTAATTAAAAAAAAAATGATGTACAATCAGTGTCCTAACCTTCCACCTCAAGAAGCTAGAAAAAGAAGAGCAAACTAAACATAAAGCAAGCTAAAGAAAGGAAATAATAAAGATTAGAGTGAAGAATTGAAAGCAGGACTCAAAGAGATATTTGAACACCCATGTTCATAGCGGCATTATTCACAATAGCCAAAAGGTAGAAACAATCCAGTTGTCCATTGATGAATAAATGGATAAACAAAATGAGGCATACACACAGACACACAGATACACACACACAATGGAATATTATTTAGCCTTCAACAAGGAAGGAAATTCTGACACATGCTATAACATGAGTGAACCTTGAGGACATTATGCTAAGTGAAATAAGCTAGTCACAAAAGGATAAATACTGTATGATTCCATTTATATGAGGGACCTAGAGTAGTGAAATTCTTAGAGACAGAAAGTATAATAACAGTTGCCAGGGGTTGGGGGAGGGAAGGGGAGGGAATTATTGCTTAATGGGTACAGAGTTTCAGTTTTGCAATCTAAAAAGAGTTCTGGGGACGGACGATGGGGACGGTTGCACAACAATGTGAGTGTACTTAATGCCACTGAACTGTGTACATTGAAACATGGTTAAAATAGTAAATTTTATGTTATATGTATATTGCCACAATTTTTCGAAAGGTTAGAGTAGAAAGTAAGGAAATAAGAATAGAAAAACAGTAGAGGAAATCCACTAAACCAAAAGTTGCTTCTTTAAAAAGTTCAACAAAGTTGACAAACCTTTAGCTAGAATGACCAATAGAAAAAAGAGAGAAGGCTCAAATTATAAGAATCAGAAGTGAAAGAGGGGGACATTATAAAACAAAATGAAAAGGATTATAAGGGAATATGATGAAAACTGTATGCCAATAAATTAGATAATTTAGATGAAATGGACAAATTCTAGAAATACACAGGCTACAGAAACTGACACAAGAAGAAATAGAAAATCAGAATAGACCCATAACAAATAAAGAGATTCAATTAGTAATAAAAAACATCTACTCACAAAAGAAAGCCCAAGCTCAGATGGCTTCACAGGTGAATTCCACCAACCATTTAAAGAAGAATTTATATTAATTCTCCACAAACTCTTCCAGAAAATAAAACAGGATGGAATACTTCCCGAATCATGGAACTGAAAAATGTTATTACATGGATGAACCTTGAAAACAATATGCTAAGTGAAAGAATCCGGTGACAAAAGACCACATATTATATGAATCTATTTATATGAAATGTCCAGAATAGGGAAATCTACAGAGACTGAAAGTAGATTAGTGGATGTTAGGAGATGGGGGTTCAGAGGGTGATAGCTAAAGAGTATGAGGTTTCTTTTTGAGGTGACAAAAATGCTCTTTAATTGATTGTGGTGACGGTGGCACGGCTGTGTGAATATGCGAAGAGTCATCAACTTGTGTATTGTAAATGGTTGAATTATAACTCATTAAAGCTGTTACCAAAAATAAGCATTTCACCTTTAAATGTTATAAACGCTGAGCTCTTACATAATAGTTCATTTGAAACAAAGATTTCCACCTGTTCCTTCATTCCGGAAGACTTGTACTAAGCACCTGCCGTACTGTACGGTACCTGGGCTGGCAGAGATGAATCGAGCCCAGCACATGCCCCTGGGGCCTGTGGGCATATTCCAGCCTCTGCTAAAATACTTACCTAAGTATGTGCACTCTGCACTGTGATGCAAGGGAGATAGAATAATGCTGGCCAACAGTTATTGAGGGCTTCCTGTGTGCCAGGCATCGTGCTAAGCACTTTCCATGCACTACTTCACCGCGTCCTCACGGCAGTCTGCTGTGTTCATGCTCTCACTACCCTCGTTTTACGGATGGTGACCCTCACGAAGAGTGAAGGGAGATCCTTGGGTCTGCAGGAATCCCGGATAGAATCAAGTCTGAGATGAGGCCAGAAGAGGGGCTCTACCAACTCAAGGGACAAACAAGCTCCACAGGCCATGGAAGTCTCAGCGTGGAGCTGTGTGGATGCTCAAGGAAACAAAGAGCACAGAGGCCCCAGGACCAGGGCTCTGCCCTCTCCTCAGCACGTCACCTTTCTGAGGCTCTGTTTCTCCAACTGTAAAATGGGGTGTTACTCCTACTTCGGCCACAGGGTTAAGAGCCCTGCACAAGATAAGCGAACACGCTGTGTAACCCATATAAAGGAAGGACCGTGGTTGGCACAGTGCTAGAAAGTGAGAGGCACCTAGGAGACGGACCCTCCTACCCCTCACATTGGGAAGAGCTCTGGCCCCGTCTGGGAGAGCGCAGCGCGTGCGCAAATACACACACACCTTCGCCATCCCTCCACCTCTGACTCGTCATCTGTTGCCTTTGGATACTGGTCACCCTTGTCCCATCAACCTGCCAGCCCCACTCAAGCCCCTCTCCTCCTGGAAGCTTTCCCAGGCTGTCTGCCCAGCACGAGCACACCTCCTCAGAGCCCCTGAGAGCCCCTGCTTATGTCTGAGCGTCACCTGCCTGTGGGGTTGAAATCTCCACTCCTCCACTGACTGGCTTGATGGTCCAGTGTGAGACCTTCACTCACACAAAGCATCCCGCAACAGGAGGCTATTAAAAGCACTTAGCACACCAGGCAGAAGTGAGCGCTGAATGAAATGCTTGGAGAGCACTTAGCACACTGCCTGTCTCCTCCTTAAACCTGGTGGAGCTCTGCTGTGCCCTGTAGGCAGACTGCCTGAGAGCTGACAAACCCTGTGCTGGCGGCTCAGCGGGGGAAGGCTCACTGGGTGGGCCATGGGCACATCTCTGAGCGCCAACCAGATCCTCACCCTCTGCCAGGATCTCCTCATGCAAAGGGCCCCTTGCTTACTGTGTACACTGAGGGCAGACAGGGCACAGGGGAGTGCGGATCTGGAGGGCAGCCCATCAGTGGGTCCGGCGTGGGTGGGCCTCTCTTGGCCAGGGCTGGGGGAAGGGCTGAGGTCACCGGCTGAATCACCGGGGATCTTACTAGAACACAGTTCTGGGCTGGGCCTGAGATTCTGCATTTCTAACAAGCTCTGGGGTGATACTGATGCAGCTGTGGCCGGCCGTACTTGAAGCAGCCAGGACCTGAGGCATGGCACGGTCATTTCTGAGAAGAGCGGTGATTGGCAATCGCACCTCGACCTCCCGCCGGTCCTGGAGGGACCCAGCCCTGCCCAGCCACACCCTCGGCTGCCAACATCTGGAGGGCAAGACTACACGGATTTTCTGAGTTTCCAGGATTCCATTTCCATTACACGTACAAAATAAAAGTAGTACCACGTTCTAAAAACAGTGGAAAGTATGAAAAAACAATAGGGAGAAAAAAATCACTGATAATCTCGTATGGTGTTTAACACAACTCTTAACCTCTCTCTCCCCAGGATTCCAAAGCCATGTCGGTCAGAGAGTCAGGGTCGCCTGGTGAGTGGGGTCTGCCCCCCGGACCCCCACCCTGTCGTGGCAAAGCACCGGGTGAGAGACGGGGCTGCTCCTGAAGCCTCGGTCTCCCAACCCCCTTCCCACCCCAAGGGAGCGACACCCAGCCCACGGTGCCCGAGGCCTTCACCTAGACCTATCCCGGGGACACAGGGCGTGGGCAGGGTGCCCCCTCCCCCTCACGGGAGCAGGCTGCAGAGGAGGTAGAGGCGGGGGCCTGGGGGAGGGGGGCGCACATCTGGATCCCTGGCCCAGAGCCCACATTCCTTCCCTGTGAGCGGGCGGCGACGGGCTCTCGGGAGAGCTGTGAAGATGCTGCCTGCCCCCTCCTGCCCCACGGTAACAGGACCCACCTCGGCAGGATGACTGGGGGGACTCGAAGGCCCAGAACCTCATTCTGGGGTCCCCCACCCAGATTGCTGACCGGCCAGTGCAGCACCAAGCTGGGGGCTCTGTCCCGTCCATACCAGCCAGCCTGCCTCAGAAAAACCAGAGGGGACAAAAAAGTGGCGACCAGCAGCCACGGGGCCAGGCGCTCGCTGAAGGGGCCCTGGGGGGGACACAGGGCCCACAGGTCAGCAGGGCCCTGAGCCCCACCGGGGCCGGGCTGCCTTACCTGGGGGCAGTCCTTGATGTAGTGTCCTTTGTTGAAGCACAGGTGGCACAGGTAGTTGGGCGGGGGCCGCTTGCTGGGCTTGCGGGTCTCAGAGGTGAGGGTCAGCTCGGAGAAGTGCTCGGTGAGGGAGCTGAGGCCGTCGGCGATGTTGTTGAGGGAGCCGTAGGGCGAGGCGCTCTTGTACACGCTGCTGCTCAGCGCCTGCAGGGGACAGAGGCTGTGAGGGCTCTGGAGGCCTGGCCACTTACGGCGCTGTGGCCTCCTGGGAACCTCCACAGGCCCGTACACACACACGCACACGCACATGCACACACACGAATTCATAGTGACCCTTCAGCCGCCTGAGGGCTCCAGCTTCCTGGAGGCTGCATTCAAGTCCTACCTCTAGTTGTGCATCCAAGGACAAGCCAGTTAGCCACTCGGGGCCTCAGTGGCCCCATCCGGTAAATGGGAATAACGATAGCTACCTCCAAGGGTTTCTATGAGGCTAACATGAGGCCAAGAATGTAAAGCCCTTTATTTCCTGCCGGGCCCTGAGGAAGCACTCAGTATATGGGGATGGTGATAACAATGATCATAGCTCTCTACACACTGCCAGGGGTAAGACGTACGGCACAAAGCAACCTGTTAGAGCTGGGGCTCTGCCACGTCCTAGTGGGGTGACTTGAGACATCAGCTCGCAGCATTGTTTCCATAGCACAGAAGAGGAGACTGAAGTGCAGCATTTTGCCTGGTCTCCTGCAGCCCCAGGCCTGTGCACACTGTGTTCCGGGGAGCCCTCGTCCCGGCCCCGGCCAGCTCTCTGGAAGCCCGGGGAGGAAGTGGCCCACCTCTCTCACCTCTCCCACCTCCAGTTGACAGGAACCAGATGTCTTGCCTGGCTTCAAAGTAGACGCGGCCCAGGCCCCCTCCTGGTGTATACAGCTTCTATTTATAGGAGTCACGGGCTCTGGGCGGCCGGGCACACTGGAATTTAGCAAAGGTGGGGCCTGCGGTGAGGCTGGCAGGGAATGGCCGTGGGCCCCTCTCCTGGGGCCAGGCCAAGGCTGGAAAGAGGCAGCTTCCCCAGGAGGCTGATGACATACCTGGGCACGGGGCTTGGGCACACCTGGCCCCAGCTAAGGTGCCCAAGAACCCCAGCAGTGAACTACAGACCTTGGGGAGACTTGTTGGAGAGACAACACAGCCTTGTTCTTGGGGGTCCCCAGGCTCACAGGGGAGGAGAGCCACCGAGAGGAAGTTGCCTCAGGCTCCCTTACAAAGATGGGGCAGAAGGAGCCCAGGGTAGGGACAGTGCTTTCTGTGTCCCCTCAGTGTGGGAAGGCAGGGAGGTGAGCTGAGAGCTGGCACCAGGGGATCAGACACCCCTCGTCCAACCAGGAGAGATCCCACCCCTCACACATGTACACCTCTGGGGGGTCTGGCACTCCTCCCTAGAGGACACAGCCCTCACTCTTCTTGGCTCCCTGGACGCCCTGCTATGTGACCCTGGGCCAGCCCTTTCCCTCTCTGGGCCTCTGTTCTCTCCCATGTAGGTTTAGACCACAGCCTGGGATCTGGAAGGAAAGACAGAGACACCACATCCAGGGCAGCCAGGCCCAACACACAGTCAGTTTGCAGTGACTGGGCATTGAACTCAAAGGGTCCTAATGACCATTTCTGCTCTACCACTGCCCAGGGCTACTGTGAAAGATCCCACACAAACCTGCATCAAGTCTCAGGGCAACTCTCCAGCTCTTAGAGAGCCCCAGATGGTCCATCCTGAAAGGCAGAGGGTCCCCCATCCCTGGAGGTATGCGAGCCAAGACTGGACAACCTTAAAGGATGTAGGGAAGGTCCCAAAGGAAGTGGGATTAGATGATAATAGTAACATATACTGAGCACTTTAATGTCCCTGGTGCTGGAAACTTTACACGTGTTAAGATAGCTGACGCTCACCACAGCCCTATGAGCCACTGTCCCCATTCTACAGATTCGATGAGTGTGTCCAACCTTGTATTGAATGGCCTGGGACACTTTTAACAAATACAGTTTTCTGGGCCCCACCTCAGACCTACCAAAGCAGCCACCTAGGAATGAGGACCCAAAATCTACTGCATTGTTTCATTGCAGTAAAATATACATTACATAAAACCTACCCTTTTAACAATTTTTAAGTGTGCAGTTCAGTGGCACTAAGTACATTCACACACTTTATCGCACAACCCTCACCAGAGCCCATCTCCAGAAATTTTTCTTTATTCCAAACTGAAACTCTGTCCCTGTTAAACACTAACTCCCCGAAGCCCAAGTCTGCATTTTAAAGCTCCCCTGGGGCAGCTCAGGTACAACCTGTCCAGCCCTACCTGGCCTTGGGAGCACCTGGACTTTCCAGCTATCAAGGTCTCTCCTTAGCTTGTCTCTCGACCTCTCCCCACCAGAACTGGTCTGGGGGAGGGCAGTATCACCCCAGCCTCCCAGAGAAAAGTTCATCCAAACAAGAAACTTGAAGCTCCAAAGGGTGTGACTCACCCTCACGGCTGGGAAATGCAACTTCACAAATAACAACCCTCTTATTTTTTTTCTCTTTTCTTTTCTTTTTTCTGGATAAGATTGAAGCAAGTCCACAGGGATCAGGGCTGTTTCGGCAGCAACTTGTCAAGAGGAAGGGGAAGTTTGGTGGGAGCCAGAAGAGAACTAATTACACCCTGAAAAAACCTCTCCCCCATCTTGTGGCCACACACCCCTGCCCACGGTGGCCCCGTGGGTATCCCTGGGCAGCCAGAGGCCTCCGAGCAGGCTGTCTTCTCCCCAGCAGCTTGACATCCCCCCCCATAGCCTCAGATGGGGCACAGCTTTGCCCCTCAGGAGGGTCACACAGGCAGCTGCGGGTCAGAGAAGCGAGGCCAGAGCTCCCCTCATCGCCGACGAGTGTGCTCCGGCCTGGCCCTCACGGGTGCTCCAGCTCCCTTCCCCCCGCCACCATTCAAGACGACACCACGAAAGGACGAAAGGCGGAACAGTCAACTGACCCAACCTCACTCTCAAGTTACAATGGAGAAACTGAGGCCCAGCGAGGCCCGGGGGCACAGACCAGAGCACACAGCCAGGCCTAAGGGCCAGGAGTCCTGCTTGCCGGCCGGCTGGATGGGCAGGTGGGGCAGCAAGCTGTTTCCTCTCCGAAGCTCCAAGGAGCTCGGGCCATGGAGGTGAAAGGCAAGTTGGTCTCTCGGACATTTCCACGGCCTGTGGGGACTGGCCAGAGCAGAGGCCAGGACACACAGAGCTCCCTCCCTCTGTCTGTGGAGCCGGGGCCCTGGCCTTTTGGGTTTCCCACGTGTAAAATGTAACATGGACCAGGGGAGGAGTGCAAACTTGATGATCTCTGCCAGCCTGCTTCTTCAAGGTCCAGATTCCAGGTACTGAAAGATGCCCCCAGAGCCTGGTCCACAGAAGGCACTTCATCCACGAGGTCATCACCTCTCCCAAGTCCTGCCGTCTGTAGCTGGAGGGCAAGGATGGGCAGGGCTCCCCTTCATCAGTCAGCCCCTAACTCTGCAACAACGAAGCTGCTCCCCTTACTGTCCCACCAGCAACCGCTCTTTTCCCTCCAGGCCTGCACTTGCTGTCCACCCCTGGGATGCCCACTCTGGGTCCAAACCCCTGCAGGACCGGGCTCTTGGCCACGGCTCTAACTCTAGTGGTGTGGCCTTGAACCCACCCCTTCTTCTTTCTCAGGCCTGGGCGCCAAGGGACGGTGTGAAAAGCACAGGTTCAGGTGCTTCTGAGGCCCCACTGGCCACAGAGTCCCCAGCCCCCTCCGGGGGCCTCCTGACCTCCCGGCCATAGCCCTGTGCTGTAGGCTGGGGTGGGGACCACCCTGTGACTCCCCTGCCCTTGCCTGAAGGGACTCTGATGTCTCTCTCTAACCTCTTTACACGGTGATACCTCCTCATCTCTCCACAAGGCTGGACATCCCCCAAGGCAAAGATTCTGCAACCCTCCGTTGCCCCAGAGACCAGACTGTTTCTGGTGTCCCCCTACGCCCATGACTGTCCTGTGTGCAATAATCACAGGCGGGAAGGGAGCTCCCCTTGACAGATGAGGGTATGGACGTTCCAGCGCCTTGAAGGGTTTAGGCCAGGGTCTCTGGGTTCCCACGGCTTAAAGCTGAGGGTGATTTCACCTCAGATGTAGCTGCTCCGGGCAGTGGTTGTGGGCAGCCCCACTAGTGTGTGGCTCTGGGTTATCTGGGCCCAAATCACCAGCCTGGGGGAAGAAACCGCCCCTCCTTCCTCCCTGGGTCAGCGACCCCAGCAGCTAGTAGGAAGCGTGGGATCCTTATGCCACATGTGGGGAACAAAGCATCAGATTCCTGTCCATTGCTGGAACTCCTCCAAGGTTCTGGCTTGGCTGTTGGAGAAAGTTAGTTGGGAAGATACTACAGTTTATTCTCATCCTACTCGTGTTAGATACTTGACTGGATCCCTTCCCTTTCTTAGTCTCATCCCTGACAAGAACACTCTGGATGGGCATTACTGGCCCTATTTTATAGAACTGGAAACTGAGGCTCAGCGAGGTTGTGTAACTTGCCCAAGGAAACACAGCCAGCCTGTGGCTGAGAGGAGAGCCACACCCAGATCTGTTGGCCTGTTGTATTTCAGCCCCCGAATGACCTCCAAGGCTTGGCTTCCCCTACAGGAAGGGGACCCAGAGTAAAACACCTGGCGTGGACCATCCTCCTTGGCACAGAAGCCCCTCAGCCCTGGCAAGATGAGACACCAGCTTCTCTGGGCTGCTTGAGGGGCTTGGGCCCCAGGGTTGGTGGTTCTGTTGAGGGGTTTGGGATACACAAGTGGAGATTTCCAGGGCTGACTCAACCTGACAAGATGTGCTCCCCCTTGGCTGCCCCCCCAGGACAGAAACAGGGCACAGTGGGAGGGGGGAGGCAGGAGTTAGGGCAGGTGGGCAGAAGCTTCCGAGAGCAGACCAGAGGGAGAAGCGATGGGTGCAAGAAGAGAAGAGGGACAGCAGGCAGAGGCGGGAGCAGCCCGGCAGGGAAGGTCATGGCAGTGGCAGTGGGCAGCGTCCAAGGAGGTCTGTCCAAAGCAAATGCTGAGTCCTGCTGCCCCTGGGCCTGAGACGGCCCTGGAGGAGGAATTCTCTGGTCCTAGTCTCAGCTCTGTGGGGGCTCTTTCATCAGCTCAACAACTGCTTTCTTA